GCTGTGCAGTGGAAACTGCAAACATTTTTGGGAAAGCGGGGCCAAAAATAATAATAATAATAATAATAATAATAATAATAATACATCTGCATGCCACGTTTTTTGTTCATTAACTCTCGACGAGGAGTGAATTGAGCAAGGGGAAATTTGGAGTAAGAAGGAGGAGGAGCCACAGAGTCAAGAGCCAGGGCAACAAGGATGTGTTTCTGTCCGTCCTGCCATGTCCTTCTTCCCGGACCTCCGTTTCTGTTCTTCTTGGCCAAAAACATCGCTTACATATATATATATATATATACGTATAGAAAACTTTATGCTTCGTTAAAAATGATGTACAAATCAAATGCCAGAAGCAATTTCCCAGCAACAATTACAGCCAAAACACCAGCAGCCAAAGCAAAACCACAACAATGCGGGGCCAAGACGCAGGGGCATTTTGGCCACACAGGGAAAAAGCGAAATAATAAAATGAGTAAGTAATACAAATAGTGTTGTTGCCGGAGGTCTCTTCATTTGCTTACATCTTTTTTCGACATCCGCTTTGCGAGTGGCAGCTCCTTGGGGAATTTACCAAAAAAGGAGGCCGAATTTAAGAGTACTTTTTAATTTGGGGCAAGTTTACAAGTATTTTTCTTGGCTGCTAATTGGTTGTCTTGTATATAAATTAAATACCTAAAAATGTATGACTTAACAATAAATATATAACTATTTATTTCAATTAGCTGGTTAATAAAAGAGATGTTTCATTTGATTGCCAACTTGTGTTAAGGTTTTGTTGTTAAATAACAGTTTGTAAATCAAACATTTTAATGTAAAACACATCTGATTCTATTCATTTATTTTCTCCCTGTTTTACTAAGAGTAATGAGTACAAAATATTTATGCTCATAGTTAATTTGAATTTATGAACATTTCCCAGTGAATTTATCTGCTCAACCATCGAAATTTCGTTCCATGTAGAAGTCAATCCTGGTTGCAAGGGATGTGTGTGTTGCGGCAAACAGGCCAAAAGCTTGCGATGGGCAATGAGCAAAAATAAATAAATCATTTAAATGAAAACAAAAAAAAAAAAAAACTAGAAAATAGACAAACATATAGGAAGGTTGGTTGGGCAGAATGGATGGCCATAAGGCTCATTAGAAATACATAGGAGCAACCACAGCAACGGCAAACTGAGATATAACAAAAATATTCCGATGAACATTTTCAAAGCAGTAAGTCGAGCTATTTTGGAAAATGAATTGAAAATTTAATACGCAAGCAAACGAATTTATATGAAAGGATTTGGGAAAAGAGTCGGATGGCCAACTGCGGTTTGTCCAAACATGCGAGTTCGATCTGAAAATGAACTTATGACTTCGGCATAAATAATCATTCTGGTTTGTTCAGTTTGATTTTCAATCCCTTAGATACCTTGCAATTTGAGAGTTGGGATTACATCAGAAAATGTTATTAAGCCTTTTTGTATTCTTAGAAGTTACTTTTAATATATATAACATGAATTCTGAATTGTAACCTTTATTTTAAGCATAGTTTACCTTTGGTTTTTGTATATCAACTAAGTTGCTTTTTCACACATTTCTCCTTTCATTTTTTTATTTTGTTGAATTAATATGTCTAATAGAAAAACGCTTGGAGTTTTCAAAGCTTTTCGCTTGGTTGAAAACTATCGCTATCATGGGACATTTTAGCGGGGCGTAAGCGTTAGTGCCACGCCCACAAATCCAGGTGTTGACCAGAGGCCTCATCGCCGTCGTCATCGTATTCATCAGCGGCCTCATCTGGAGCAGCTCTATAATGATGGTAATGATCAGGTGCTGGCCATTTCCATTTTCATCCAGGCCAAGTGCGAGGCGGCGTCATAATTACACGTTCCACTGTTTTTGGTGCAGAGAAAAAATAAGTTCTTAAATACTGATGGCTTCTAAAAAATAATAATATCAATTTAAATAAAATATTGGAGTATTTTGATTTCTTTTACTGAATATTTTGGTTTAAGGATTTAATAATTTTGGGTAGTTATTTCGAAGAATGGTTTTGAGATCGAACTGCAATTATTAGAAATTATGTTCAGGGATATTTTGCAAAGTGTATGCTTGACTTTAAACCTGGTTCAAAGCTGGAGCTGCGGTTCACTTTTCTGGCTGAGAGCTCCGGGCGGAGTGAAATCGACCGAAAGTTTTCTGCAGTGGGGAAAAGGCAAGGAAAAGGCAAAGCCATATTTCGCTGCGGTTTCCTAGGCAAGGAATCAAATCAAATTTAAATTCCATTAAGGCCAGCTCGGAATTAGCGAAGTGGACCCAAATCAAGCGGGGAGGCAAAGGCAAACAAAGTCCGCAGCAGGTCAAAAAATGAAGAAAAAAAAAATAAGAAAGGAGTGGGAGAGGGAGAGGAAAAAGGAGAAGGAGTAAGGAAGGGACGAACCTTCCTTGGGGCAACACACATGTGCGGGCTGGCATAAATATTTACAAACAATGACGACGGAAAGCCAAAAGTGGCGGCAGCAACAAATCCGTTATAAATAAAACATAACCAAAAGATTTCCAGCTCTGCTCTGGATCCACTTGAAACGGAGCTCTCCTCTCTCCTCTCCTCTCCTCTCCCCACCGACTGGAATTCCAGTCTGGAACTCCAGGCTCATGGAATGGAGAAATAGGAGCCCAAAACGACGACCAAAAAGATGTCAAAAACAATAAATCAAATGGCGTTGGTTGAGCAGAGGAAGTGCACACACAGAAACTAATGACAATTTCATTTTTTACCTTTCAAAAGCACTTTCATTGGTGAAAAAGTAGTAGTTATATTTATATTAAAATAGTGGAATAAGTGCAAAATAATGCTATTAATAATTTCCTCGAAGCCATATTATGTGTGTGTGTAAATAAAATAGCATACTAATTCGTCAAAGTAAGTTCATATTCATATATGTATGTATGTGCAGATGTATGTATGTATGTACTTTTAATATTAAACATATTCAAATGGATAAATAGAAGGTGATATAAATTAGAAAAGTCTAGAACTTATAAAAGTGAATTTATTTACACTTTTGCAGTACTGAACACAATCTAATAAAATGCTATTCATAACTCTTTACTCAAGTTAAACAAAATTTTGATCACTGTTTTTAAAAGGTAAAGCCCCGGATCGCTCGAACGGAAGCCCAATTCGAAAAGACCGGCAAAAATCTCGAGCGGCACGTTCCCTTTCGGCGGGTGGCACTTGGGGCACTCTTTACAAATCGCTGCTTGAGGCATGAGGCATGCCACTGGGCAAGCTTCGAGCATTAAAAACCGCTTCGCAGGAAGGAGACTGGCATAAAAAACTGTTGCGCAGGCGTCGCAGTGTCTTCTTCATCTGACTCCATCTCCTTATTTGTACCTTCAGACATATGTATGTATATATAAATATGTACATACATACATGTACACACATCGCCTCCGCCTGCGATTAGCATTTGTGAATGAGTGGAATTTTGAAACGGAATCATGACAGCGGAAGTTTTGAGAACGGTGTCTTTGTTTTGAAGAAGGTGCGACCCGAAATCCAGCCAGGTATGTACATACATACATGCTATATACACATATAAAATATATATATTTATAACGTTTAATTTCTGAGAGATTTCGAGTGTGAAATGTTTTACGAGGGGAAAGTAGAAATAAACAAATATGGAATAAATTGACTAGGGGTAAGTTCAAATATTTTAAATTTACATACAATTTAAGCAAACAACAATTAAAACAAATAAGACAATAGCATTTACTAGTTGTGAATTGCTTAAGTTATAGAACATGATTCCGTTACGAATTATATCAGGTGTCTACAATTCCTATTCTCTTAGCATATTTGTTTTGTAATTGCATATTACACGAACAATTTTACACTTTCTTCTTTCTCTCGATATCCTCAACTGATAAGACCAAGCATTACCACTAGAGTTCAGTTTTTGTGTACGAAAGATTTTTCTTATTATTATTAACTACCGTATTCTTGTGCTTAGTTCATTCGTTTCACTTTGCCTTTTTTGTTTTTGTTACACAAGTATTTTATTTATTAGCATTCAAATTCCACAAAAGTGTTGGAAGAGCGTTTACTTAAATTGAATTCGAACTATTAGTTAGTCAATTTCTTATAAAAACCCATGAATTAAGAATGATCAAGAATTTCAATAAAATTAATGTAATATTAAACATTTTAAACAACAATACTTTCGAAAATCAACTTAAAATGTAATATAAAAGAATGTTAATTTTTTTTCCTTTTTAACTGATCGAAGATAGAGAGTTCATAGATCTCTTTTTTGACATGTTTATGGAGTCCCTTATCAACATCTCACTAACACTCTCAAAATCAAGAGCAACATGTTCTGCGCCATCAAGAGAGCCAGCAACAAATGTTGCTGGGAGAGCGAGCGAATGTTGAAGCAATACGAACAGCATCCGGCAACATGTACTCTAGAAACACTAGATTTAAAATGTTTAACAAACAAATTTTTATTATAACTTAGAATAGTGAATATTCAAGTTCAATTGGGTATTGATTCGACATCAAAATAAGGTCTCTTTAAACTTATTTAGAAGTTTATGCAGCCAATAATCAAAATTGAATAGGATTAAATAAAAACATTTTGAATTTAAATTTCCTTAAATATTTAAAAATTTTTTTGTTAAATTTATAAATAAATTCATTCGGTTGTGTGCTTTGAATTTATGTTAATTCATATTTCATTTAAATATGATAATATAATCAATTAATCTATATTTTATGGGCACTTAGAAAAATATTTAGTCTAATTTCCGTATTCATGATAAAAATTTTCAATTGGTTTACCTCTTATAAATTAAACACATTTCCTAATAATATTCTGATATTGAAATCGCGTTGATGTTTGGATGTTCATCCAACAAATGTTGCTTCGGCACAAATGTTGCCGGGCAGCATCCCACAGAACCGCCGGGCGCTCTCTCTCGACGCTTTGTTTTTGCTGGCAGCCAGCAGTTTGAAGTTGGCAGTTAGCAGTTTCGACCGAGCGTTTGCGTGAATAACAGCGTGTGGCGCAAGCGAGCGATTTCGAGGCGATTCCGAGGCGATTTCGGGGCGATTCTGTTACCGAGGCGAAGCGAAAATTAACCGAAGTACGCGTCGTGCGATTGTTGTTGGTGTTGTTTTTTTTCGAGTGCGAGAGTGCGAGTGGGAGGGGCGACAGCCTCCGCGACAAGGAGGCACACATACACGCACACACACACACTAACGTATATAGTGCGCCAGGACGAGAGCATCGAAACACGAAACGAAGCGAAATTGAACAGGACCTTTTTGGGGGCAATTGGCGCGAGGAAGTCGCCGCGGCGAACAGAAACACGCTGGCCGTTGACCGAGTGGCAACGCGGCCCGGAGAATTCGGTTTCCAAATTGCAAATTGCACATTTGTAGAATCTCATTGAGAAGCCGAGAAGCCGAGTATCGAGTATTTATTGAGAGGGAATTCGGTGCCTGAATCCGAATCGAAATCGGAATTGGAATCGAATTGAAGCGGAGAAACTGTAAATTGGCAGCTGTTGCATGCTGTGGCAGACTTGGTGACGCCGCGAGTGCCGTCGCCGCGTCTTGTTTTTGTTGTTTGTTTGTTTGGTGACCCCGAAATTCGATCCTCGCGAGTGTTACCGCCTAATTAACCACAAAAAGAAGAAAAGAAATACAAAAGAAATTTAAATAAAACAGAGAAAAAGGAACAGAGAAAAATAAAAAAACAGTGAAGCGGAAGGAGTTCTTCTGACTCGAGGAGAACGAGGTACTTCGCATTCGAGCCAATGTACGTAAGCTGCCTCTGGATTTTCCATAAGCTTCAAATATTCCCGGTCTTAAAAAGTGAAACATATATGGAAACCCCAAAAAAAAAAAACCCACCTGATTATCATTTTCCAAAATCTTTTAACAAATGTTGCATTTGTTAGCTGTTAATTTTGCTTATTCCTTTTTTGGAAAATCAAGTTCATTTAAATGAACATTCAAGTTATTGGTGCTCTAAGCTATTTAAGCAGAACTAGTTTTATTGATTCAAATTTATACCTAATCAATTAAAATATTTTTATTGAGTGACAACCAGAAAACACGACATCCTAATAAAACTAAATTAATTTAATTGCAGTTTCCTACGGTGTTCATAATTAATGTTCTTACAGTGAAAAAGCGTGATTAAGTTGATTGATTGGTTGATTATAGTTCACTTATTGAAAACTTGGCTTCGAGTACTTTTATCTTAAATGAATCTTAAGTAATTAAAACACGCTGGAACCAAATTATATTTATTGGCCAGGAATATTAATTAGTTTTGAATTTAATTAATCTATTTAAGTAGTACATGTTTTTTCATTACAAAGTCGAATGAGTTAATACGATTTGAGCAAATGTAAATGGTTTTAAATAATAATTGCAGTTTATAGGTATTTTAGTTGAACACTAAATTTAATTTCATAAGGTGTGATTAGTTTTTAATATTATTTAGAGTTCCAATTGCAATAATTTGAAAACGTGCTTAATTTGAGAAAATGTGTACAGTAATTTCAATTGTTATGGTTTCTATTAGATGACCTTACCGAGTTCCAAATTCAATTTAAATCGGTTGCATTTCGAAAATTCCGGGCATATGTGAAGCTTATTGGGTGTCCCGTCTATATAGTTCAATATCAACCATCTCCGATTTAGGGTCCGAGCGACAGGGACAACGATGGAGCTGCTGCTGCCCGTCGTCCTGGCACTGGCCATCCTCGGATCCGCCGTCCTGTCCGCCGGCATTTCGCCCAACGATCCCTGCTACTTCGAGGGCAAACCGCGCAAGTGTTTGCCGAGTTTCGTGAACGCCGCCTACGGGAATCCGGTGCAGGCGTCCAGCGTTTGTGGCGCCCAAAACCCCGAGCGGTACTGCGAACTGCTGCGCGATGGGAACGCCGGCGAGTGCCGCCCATGCGAACGGGAGCGGTACGGTCCCGCTGCTCTCACCGACTTGAATAACCCCAGCAATGTGACCTGCTGGCGCTCGGGAGCGGTTAATGTGCCCCACGATCCGGACACTGCACCACCGGATAATGTCACCTTGACCCTGTCGTTGGGTAAAAAATACGAGCTGACCTACATATCGCTATCGTTCTGCCCCCGATCCCCGCGTCCCGATTCGTTGGCTATTTTCAAGAGCTCTGACTTCGGACAGACCTGGCAACCCTTCCAGTTCTACAGTTCCCAGTGCCAGAAGTTCTACGGCAGGCCGGATCGCGCCAAGATCTCCAAGTTCAATGAGCAGGAGGCACGTTGCATTAACTCGCAACATGATACGGGCGGTGCAGCTCAGAGATTTGCATTTAATACTTTGGAGGGCAGACCGTCGGCCAATGACCTTGATTCGTCGCTGGTTCTGCAGGATTGGGTGACTGCCACCGATATTCGGGTGGTGTTCCATCGACTAGAGTTGCCACCACAGCTGTTGAAGGTGAAAAATGCGAACACGTTCAGTGATGAAATGGGCGGAAGTCGTGAAGGCGATGAAGATGATGACGAGGATGCGGACTTGGAGTTGGATGGCGAGCAGGATGAGTACGATTACAATCTGCAGGATAACGATAGTGCCGATGCCGGATACGATGAGTACGAGGAGCCCAAAAAGCATTTGGAACTGGACGACGATCATTTGCATCTGGATTATGCCAGCGATGGGGAATCTGTGGTGAAAAGGCAGGGGAAACACAAGAGTAGCGCCTACGAAAAGCATTATCAGAGCAAAATTGCGGTGACCACGCCCCCTCAGACGCCCTCGGTGAAGGTCACGCCCTCGGGCAAGGCGACGCCCCCCAGCACAACGGCCGCCCCCGTCAGTTTGCCCGTTTCACAGCACTATGCCGTTTCCGATTTTGCCGTCGGCGGAAGGTGCAAGTGCAACGGTCATGCCTCCGAATGCGTGGCCACCGTTAGTGGAGTGTCCACATCCCCGGCTGGACAGGATCAGGACGAGGGACAGGACGAGGACACGCCCCCACTGGCCGCCCACTTCGGGAGGAGCAGCCAGCTGAGCGGCAAGTTGACGATGACGTGCGCCTGCAAGCACAACACCGCCGGTCCGGAATGCGAGCGCTGCAAGCCCTTCTACTTCGATCGCCCGTGGGGCAGGGCCACCGACAACGATGCCAACGAGTGCAAGAGTGAGTACCCAACACTAGCTACTAATCGATTCTACTCATTAAGGTGATTAGATATTCCATAACCCATAGAAACCAAAGAGCAACTAGATAAACCCATTTCTGAGTCATGGTATTTCATCATTTAACTAGCGCTGTAAAACAAATGTAGAATTATTTGAATTTATTTTTGGGATTATTCTGAAATGTTTAAAATAATCACCACGAATCTCAACCAATCTCAATTTACAGTTGGGCTGGAGAAAAATTGATACGATAGTGTTATCTGAAACATTAAGTGTTTGGTTACGCTCGAAATTGAAAGTACACAAAAAGAGGAGCCTTTTCAAGAAGCTAAATGAATTTGAAGTGATAAATGTAATATATGTGGTAAAAGCAGAGAAGAACTAAGGGGAGAACCAAAGTGAAATCGAGGAATTTCATTTAACGCGACACTTTTGAACTTACTTTGAACCTTGATCAGGCAATTGTGTGGGGTGAGTGGCACCATTCTTTCGCTGGCACTGCCATTGATCCCTCGATCGACCCTCGGCGAAGAGCAGAGGTCTTTTCATGGTCACTCACAACTGGACAGTGGACAGTGCATTTGCCGGCTGAAAAGGGGAAAGTTGGGGAGTTGGGGGTTTTTTTTTTCAGGAGGGGAAAAAAGGGGAAAGGGGAGATTCGAACCCGATTCGAGTGGCGTTTTCAATTGCCGGCATTGTGTGATTGCGATTGTGATTCTGATGCTGATGGTTGATTGTGAGTGTGATTGTGAGTGCGATTGTGAGTGTGATTGTGATTGTGATTGTGAGTAGTGAGCAGTGTGCCCTCCGCGTCCTTTCGTCACTTCAGCCCGCTTGCATTTGAGTACTTTAGCCTTGCACTGGCAATCGGCATCGATGCCATCCATCCATCGATGCTCCAAATTGCCATCGACATTCCTTCGCATTGCATTTTTGGTGTTCTATTCGAGACTCGGAGTGGCACAGTTGAATGCCTTCGCCGGAGACGATTGTCTACGAGGGGAATGTGAATGTGAGAACTCTAGTTCTGATATCACAATTTCCATCTGCGTGTGTGTATTTTCTTTTTTTTTATATCGTCAAAGTCGGCGGTGCCATTTATGCCAGCGTCCAATCGACCAACAATATCATCATCATCATCATCATTTTATTCTTAGTGTGGTGTTCCCCTCCATTTACACTGCTCTTTGCATTGGTTTTACCTTAGTTGCCACGCCCCCTTATTCCGCCCACGCAGAGGGCCATAAATTACTAACGATTAACTTTTTTTTCGTAGACGTTGTCGTCCTCAGCCAGAATTAATCAAAAGACAGCCAAAAAGGGGAGGGGAAGGCTGGCCAGCCCATTTTGTGGGGTCGAAGGTCAGCTTAAAGACTCAACCGAACGTCCGTCGGCACTAATTTATGGCTTATGGCAAAAAAAAAAAAAAAAAAATAGAGGAGAAGAGGAAAAATCCCATGACAATTGGCCAAGGAAAAGGATTAGCTGAGGGGAAAAAGAAAATCCAGAATTAGTTTCAGGTTCTTCTTAATACATAGTTATACTTTTATCTATAGAAAGTATTTAATGGAAGAACTTCTCTTTAAAAATGGTAATTGCAATCCCCTTTAAATTATTTTAATTTAATTCATGAGCGAAGTACTCCATTCCGGGGATTTTTGGCTAATGTCGGAAAATCTACGCAAACAATGAGCCCCCGAAAAATTTCCCTAAACTCTTTAACCCATGGCCAGCGGGCCTTAATCGACCTTGAAGCTCACTAAGCCGCCTAAGCCGAAAGTTGTCCGTCTACTTCCGTGCATTTCCATCAGCTTTTCCAACCAACCAACCAACCAACCAACCAACCAACCAACCCACCAAACCATCCACCATCAGCGTAGCGTTTTTTGGCCAAAAAAACAACAGCACAGAAGCGGGGAGGTTGGTGAAAAATTAATTTTCTATGGCTTAAATTTGAATTAGTCTCCGCCGGAATCCCAAGTTTTCCGCCCGGACTTCATTACAAATGCAACGAAATAAACAGCGAGCGGGAGGCTTAAGTGGAAAAAAGATGGAGCGCTCGGAAAGTGATAAAAAATATTTATGTCTGGTCGAAATTCCAGCCGCCGGTTATTCCAGCGGTGTCCTGTCCCATTTCCCCACCATTTAACCGCCATATCTATCTTTCTATCCGTGGCACTTGCAACCTCCTCCAGCTGACCACCGAACACTTGGCTGCTGGAGAATCCGGCGGATCCAAAAAGATTTACGAACGCCAACGAAATGGCAACAAACAGCGGGCAAACAATATACAAAACAAGAAAGCGGGTTTATTCAGGATCCAGAATCCTTGAATTCTGTTTACTCTATTTATAAAAAAATCCTGAAAACCATTTTCATGATTTTATTAAAATTCGAAGTACCTAATTGTTGAGGATATTTATAATATTTGTATTGAAACTTTCTATTTTATTGTGTATATTTTATATTACAATTTTAGGGTAGAATTCTAAACCATTTCTATTTCCTTTGGTAATTTTTTGTTCCCTATTTGTAATGTTTATAATTATTATTAAACCCTTAACAATCCCTTTCAAGGGAATTAAATCGTGCGACTAAATATCGGAATCAGCGGAAAAGGCAAATATTAAAGTAGGAACTCAAAATATTCAGCTACCTGATGCCGTGTGGCTTATCTCGACGATTCCCACTCTCTCCTCTACCTTTTCCACCCACAGTACTTCATTCCGATTTGCTTTATTCGCTGGCGATTTGTTTCGATATCGTTTGCCTAAAAATTGCTCTCATTCTACGGTTCACAAGCAGTGGTCACTGTGCACAGTGGTTGAAAACATAATTTTCATCTATAGTAGAAACTATAGTAGAACGATTTTTAAACAATATTCGAATTGTTTTAAATATGTATTTATTAAAAATATGTATTTCAATTTACAATTTTGCAGTCTATCTACCTTTTGAAATATAAATATACAACGTTTGTAATAATTTTCAAAATAATACACGCCCCTCTTTTTGAAAATGATCTGATTTCACTTAATTTCATATTGGAGAAAATGTTGTAATGAAGTTCGTTGGCTTAGGAGACCAATTTGTACCAGGTTAACTTTTGTGAAATGTATATGAATAATTTATGAGCACAATCTGTAAGATTTTGACCCACTGTGGTTGACATCGCCTCATTGGTTGACGCTCGCGGGTCTCTGGGGTCGAGTGAAGCGCATCTAATGCGAGACATCTGTTAATTTTTTGGCAGGCTGCAATCGGCCGAATGGAAATGGCACTGTGAATGTGGCAGTGGCAGTGGCAATGGAAAAGTGGGTAGTGAAAATGGAAAACCAGAAAGCCAAGGGGCATCGATGGTTTGTCCCCTGCCCAACAAATTTTGACCGGACGACTCGCTCCCTCATTGAGATGCCGCTTTGTTTATTACATTTATTTGTGTGTGATTTTCATATGTTTACTATTCCCTTTCTTTCCGGGGGTGGGTGAGTGGTCCTTCTTGTTGTGCGAGGGTGGTGTGATCCTGTTCCCGGTCCTCTCCTTTTTCCTTTTTCCCTTTGCGAGGGCTGTTCGGAGTGTTCCGGGGGGAGTGCGACTAATTCGCTGCGTTTACATTCGCAAATTCCGCCTGGTAATCCCGGCAGCTGTGCGCATTTAACGTGTTCCTTTCGGGGAGTGAGAGGTGCCACCGGAGCGACGAGCTTATTCCGATCCGCGGCACCCACAACTGACTTGCAACAAATTGCCCCAGCTTACGTTGCAACAGCAGTGAGCACTCAAAAAATAAAAGAGCGAAATAGTGGAACTATTTAGCAATAATAAATGTTTTTAATTTAATGAAATTCCCTCCATCAATATGAAGTACTTATATATAATAATTTTATTTATTTTATGTAAGAATTTAAAACATGTGTTCATTAAAAAATGAATGGTACTAAGTGAAAATAGGACAATCTATATACTAATAATAATAATATACAATTTTTTAGGTGTATGTATAACTGTTTAAAATATAATAGCAAAAGAGTTTTGAGTAACCAAAATATCCTTTTGTTAGCTCTTGCAATCGCATTACTTATTTCTCTCAGTGCACAAGGAACAGTTGCAGAAACAGTGGCAGTAATAGTTCGAGTTACCTAGCGGTTGCCAGTTAAGTTGTTGCACATACATTCAACATGCAGGATTCTGGGCGATTGCGGACCATTCTGGTTGGCAAAACCGAAAGCAGAGTGCAACATTTTATTGCATAACCGCAACATTGTGGCTCTGTGCCCCGCCCCTAAGCCCCCTCCTCCCGTTTTTTTTTTGTGGGCGGTGGGCGGGGCGTGTCAATGTGATAAAATGCTGGCAGCTTCCATTTCACTTGGAATTCCTTCTGTTGCGATTGCTTTGCCTTTTAGTTGGAGTTACTTAAAGCCTTCTCTCTTTATTTATTTTGCATTTTTCTTCTTTTTTTTTTTGAGTGGAGGAAGTCCTTTAAGACTTACCACATAGTCTGTCGAGTTATTCAGTAGAAAAAAGAAATTACTGAACAAATAGCTCCTTAAATCACTTTGATATGGTAATTGATATGGTAATATATTTTAATATTTATCTAATATAAATTTGATAATTGGTAACAAACCTTCCATAGTCTATTGATTTTCTAAATATCATTTGATTTCGAAAAAGGAAACCTAAAAAAAGTTGTAGTGTAATTTTCTTAAAATCTGCATTTAACTTTTTCTTTTGTGAAAAGAATGTTTATTTTATTTAAACCGAGCTGCGAAGGAGGAAAAACTTGGCAAGGAATCGGGTGTGTGTGTGTGTGTGTGTGTGTGTGCGTGTGTGTGTTGGCGGGTGAAAACATGGAAATGCATAATGAGTGCCTTTTGTGTAGACTGTACTTAATTTGCATGCAGCCAACGGGAAACGGGAAACGGGCAACGGGCAACGGGTTATGGATGTGATTTGCCCGGCTGAATGGCCGGAATTTAAGAAATGCGCCACGGGAATCCT